GTCTCATTCTTGACATAAAGTTACTATTTTTAGACATTTTAAGGTTTTTTTTAGACTATTTTTAATTTTTTAAAAAGTAATGCTTTTTGATAATACTCAAATGAGATTTAAAGTCATTTAAAGCAATAAAAATAATTTAAATTGAGAAGTGGAAATCATGATCTCATTTGAAAAATGTGACAAGAGTAGACAGTAAGTCTCACTGAGACAGTATGAAACTACTATCTAATGCTAAAACTGTGTAATGAAATTAGTCGAATTGATAATGAAACTATCAAAAAATCTGGTCCTGGTCTCAGACACAGTCACACGGTCAGTCTAGTTATAATGAGCAGTTGCTGACTGACTGAGCTTGAAATGTAAGAATAAGTGCTCACAGACAATTATTCAGATGTTTGCAGCTTGACATGATATATACTATTAACTACTAGAAGTATTCACAGTAGAAAGATAAAATATAGAGATTAAATATATAATAGTATTCAAGCTGAGTTATAAATAGTATTCATGAACTTCAGTCTATATAGTTGTATGTAGTCAAGGGCCGCTAGCTCTATTGATTACATGAGAGATAGAAATAGAGGTAAAGAATTCATGAGAAGCAGGATTTCTTATAATAATATTATTAAGAAGTATGAGATTCTATCAGAGAATATCTATAACTTTGATAAAGTTGAGTTTTTTATAAGAGTTATCTCATCAGTCTTAGTGATAACTAGGTCTGAAAGAGTAGAAAAGACATCTCTTATTCAGTCTGAGAATAGAGAATGAGTGACTGTCAACTAGTCATACATAAAGCTACATCTCTAGCTCAGGAGAATAGAGCTTTATAAGCTGTAAATGAGAAGCAGAAATGCAAGCAAGGCCAAGACTGTACATATATAGATCAGAGAGAAATCCTAACTAGAAAGAAAGGCTTAGCCAGAACTCAGACTGCTCAGAGTAGTTAAATTGAAGAAGTAGAGATGAGAGTTTCTGTAAGAAGTGAGTATCACCACACTGTAGCAAGTTTAATATAGTGAGACACATTATTAGACAATGTAAATAGGCCAGAGGTATACTGGCATATAATTTAATAAGAATAAATACAAATTTGTTGTTGCTCAATTAAGCAGTTAGTCTTGAAAGGGTGAAGAAGCTGATCTGTTGAGTGATTTGATCTTGTTGACTGATTGATTAACTATGTTAATTCAACTTTGCTTAGTAAATTTTCGGGGGCTCTCGGATCAACAATTTTTCCGACAGTCACTGACGTAGAAGCAGAACAATGCCATGACAATCATCACCCAAACTGAAAACTTTTCAGTCAAATTTGAACACACAGTTCAGCGGAGCACCGTTGCCAGCTTCCAGGGAGCGCCTGTAAAATCCTCTAGTTTTGAGATCATCCCAACAGAACATGTCCTCCCCATTTGTGATAGCCTTGCTAACAGAACCAAGCTTCGGCGCCTGTTCTCCAACTTCTAAAGCGTGGAGGCAGCTACTTTGTCAGTGCAGGCACTGGCAAGCTACTAGAAGCCTCACTATCCGATCTTATGAGCTCGTGGGCGGTGCGATTCAGCCGGTCGTGCCCATTGAGTAGTGGCCACCTGCATATCACTAGTGAAAAGACTTCTTTTCCTCGCGCCGTTACACTCTCTTTTTATAGATCACACACCCGCACCATGACTATCCCATCTGAAGCTCTGAATACATGGCCTGGACGGATCATACAGGGGCAAAACACAAGACAATCTTCGGGGGGGCAGTGCATGTATGCTTGGAGGGTTGGTTCTGCCGTCACTATGAGCTTTGTGATCGGATAAAGGACAAACTTGTGGATGTACATACATGAATGTTGCGATTAGTGTCGGCGTTGGATATACGGGACCTGCGATATGATGAATTGACTGCTTGTAGCGACGGGAAAGCTCGGGGTGTTTTTATTTGACTTTTCCCTGGCCAGTTTTAGCTATTTCCGTCTAAATAACATATCATAACAATACTAATTGACCTAGCTTCCGGGTTTCATTTCCATTCTCGCCTTTATCCCTGCTGTGGAAGGCCATACTGGGAAGCTTGTCAGATGCTTCTACTTCACAAAAATAGGCGAACCTGTAAGTATCCTGTTCAACAGGCTTATCACCCCAGAAGGATATTAAAGCTAAAGACTCAAGCACAATTTCTTACAATATTCTTCACTTGCATGGTCTGGCGAAGGTACAGTTGAGTACACAAACAGTTACTTTAGGCACGGCAGCAAGCAAAGTGATTCTGGTTTTGAGAGGTATATGGTTCTCTTAGAATGTTCTTTTCATTGTGTAGCTAACGCCTTTTCAGAGATGGACAAAGATTTGACCTCGGACCGGAAAATACGGAAAAGAGCAAGCACCCGAGCGATACAAGAAAATGCAGAACCCAACAAAAGAACCGACAGATCTCAGGATCAAGATGACGACCAAATCACGGCTCATGATCTATTGAACAAAATACGGGGGAAAAGCCAAACCAAGGAAGGATATGTTCAAAGAGCAGTTCGCCAACGTCTGAGACTCTACTGCTGCGGATGTGAGGAGGATGTTAGCGGTGGGGGGGAATGTCAACAATGTGGCCATACATCGTGTCTGGTGTGCTTGCACGAAAGGAGACTGCGTAGGGAAAGATCTGTTGACCGATCACACGAACCGAACCAAGCGAATAGACGCCATGATGCTCAGACAAACAACCAAACGCGCGCAGTCCCGGCGACCCTTAGCCAAGCTATCAAGATCGATGAAGACCCGGAAACAGAAACAGACTCTGTGCTCTATATGTTGCCTTATTCTAAACTGAAGCGGAAACTGAGAGAGCAACAACAAAAACAGCAGACCTGGGTTAATCGAGCCATCAAGTGCTGCTCCTGCGAAGTAACTGGCTCGGCGGTCAACAAATGCGCATGTGGGCATGAGTATTGCGGAATATGCTTTCATTATTCAGTTGACTAGTTGCAAACTTGCTGGTTAATTCACGGACTTTCGGATCAACAATTTTTCCGACAGCTTAAGCACACAGAATGCCTTCATAAAAAAGCTTCTCTAGATTTTGACCCTATCAGCTTTCAAGCCAGTTACAATATTTCAAGATGTAGAATGTATATTGCAATAGGTTAGGTCCGCTGTCTACTGACAGCACAGCTAATTATGACTACTCTTTGTGTGTCTCGTTCACCGAGAGATAATTGAGGGGCCATGCAAATATCATCTACTCTTAACATTCCAAAGGTGATAAGAAGCGGTTCTTGCCTCCATTGACATCCCCTTAAAATATTTCCCACAAGCCAACCCGGCAGATTTTGTCTTGCAGAGATGATGAGTTCCACACCTGTCCATTCTCTCTGTGCTAAGAAATTTCAGGAGCCCAATTCTCTTGGTGTGAGACAGTCAATCACATGTTCAACTCATCAGTGAAGATATTGTGATAGAAATTTCACTGGTTGTTCAACCTGCAAAGCAAGGCATGTCAAATGTGATGAAGCAGCACCTGCCTGTTGCAACTGCATAAAAAGGAGTTGCGCTGCGATGGTGCAAGACTCTACAGATTCGTTAACCCCGGTTCTATAAAGGGAGAGTATAAAGCTTTCAGAGGGAAAACAGATCATCAGCTTCAAACAACAGTGTCTCCAGCTGTCGGAATGGTATCTCGGATGAATATGTCGGAAACATATGAATCTTATGTGTATCAAGATCTACTTCTTATATTATCCGTACACTATCTATTATATCTAGGGCCTGTTCGGTGCGTCCGTACTTTTTGAACGCAATAGTGGATCTCATTAAAAATAGTGTATTTACCAATTATTAGTAGCAAGCCAGTGTTGTGTCATCACACTATTCCATCTTACTCACTGCTCTGAGATGGAGAAAGGAAGTTCACAAAAACATGTTCTTTTTGAACTGACTCTGGAGTCTGGACTCTGTTCAAAAAGAATGTGTTTTTGTGAGCTTTCTTCTAATCAATATTAGTTAACTATCTTCACTATGAACACTATTCTACACTATTCTACACTATATTGTCTCTAAAAGTGCTATTCTACACTATCACACACTGTTGAAGTTAAATACTGCTTATTCATAAGATCTTGGCAAGAGATGCAAGTATGACTGCTCAATCCACTGAACACCTGGTCATTTTCATCTGTACTTTGTAAAAAGCAGCTGTATTATTAGTACAGATGCTCTGCCCACTGAACAGTCATGATATTGAGGCTGTACTTTTTAAAAAAAGTGGAGATCCGTACAAAAGAACGAGTACACACGGACGCACCGAACAGGCCCCTAATTCCATACAAAAGATAGAGCTATTTATAGTAAAACAAATGTGCGAGCCAAGAGAGCTAGCATTAGCAAGTATTTAGACGAGCAATTGTAGTAAGCTGATGATAAGGAAAATACTAGTTAATATGATGTTGGTGGCGTTCATAGCGTATGACCTCTTATTTCCTGACACACCCCTTCAGCGAATGTAACATGTAAGAGGAAGTGTAAATGAAGCTGCAAGGAAATAGTCAAAGAAGTGTAAATGAAACGTTATTCTGCTTGCGCATTGATGATATCTGATATATCAAGTAGGCCTAACATCTTGACGAATTCTGTATGTTTCTGGCGTGGCAGAGCCTTAGTGAGGCCATCCGCTGGCATCTGGGCCATAGGCACCCAATCAACTGTAATATCGCTGAATTGGACAGGTTCTCAGATTCTTCGCGATGTGGGTGTTTTTAAGATCTTTGACTAGTTGATCTCTTTCATCTGAATCCTCCCATCGGGATAGGATGATGATATCATCCACGTAGAAGAAGATGATTAATCAACTATCCTACAGAGGCAGCAATCCTACACTGGAAGCAGAAAACTTGACCTCGCTAAGTGCGCCACAAGGTTGACCTCGTTATGTAAGCTGACCTCGCAAATGTGGCCCGTGCCACTACCTGTGCTCTCACACCCTCTAAGGCAATGACGTCATACAAATAGAACCTCTCCGCAGTATTTTGAACAGCGAATCTACAGTGAAATCAAACATCTAGAGCAGCCAGGGAAGAATTGTGTTAATTGTGTTACCTACAACATGGCAAGCTTTCCACAAGGTCAGGGATACGAGTTTCTCTGCTTTTGTATCCCATCCCCTCGCCATTACGGCCAGGGTCATTCATGTCCCGACCACCTGACCTGACCGGCTCGGCTGCCTTTGCTCGGCAACAGCGCCCGGTAGGTAAACGTCAATCCACTGCATATAAGATGCATACACACATCAACCTACATCTCTCTTCTGATTCTTAGACAAGGAAGACTCAAATTTATTCCTATTCCCAGAGATATTGCTGCCCAGGCCCTACTTCAGGAAAGAATTCGGATAGCGGGGTAGATATTGAATTGACCAGGGTAATCCAGTTTTATGATATATACTAACTATCTTGCATGGGTCCGGGCATCAATTTCTGAGAGAGAAGGAAAATAAGAAAAACCAAAAAGCACAAGAAGAAATATTCACAGGCACCATGGCACCCGGGCTACTCTACATAACAATGCAGCCGAGAGACGACCTCTCCCCGGCCAAATTCCATGACTGGTACAACAACGAGCACGGCCCAAGCCGCCTTCGTCTCCCCTTCATCACGAACGGTTTCCGCTTCCGCGCCACAGACACTGTGAATGGCTCGTCCAGCTCGAGCCACCCATTATCCCCTGAATGGCTTGCCATCTACGACGTCACGGACATGGCCGAGTTAAAGTGTGAGCCTTACCTGCGGCTGCGCCGTGACGAGATCAAGAGCAAGCGCGAAAAGGAAGTGATGGCGAAGATCACGATTGATAGACGGTTGTATGACTTTGTTGAGAGCAAGGAGGTGGAGGGGTATGTGCCCCTGGATGCATTGACAGAGGGAGAAGCGGAGGCTGAGGCAGAGGGAAAGAAAAACAAAAGGGTTCTCGTGGCAATTATCCAGACCCTGTACCCGGACCAGGAAGAGGAGTTCAACAAATGGTACCGCGAGGAACATCTACCTCTCCTCTCCAGGGTGCCCGGGTGGCTGCGGACAAGACGCTTCGTGAGCTCCGCCGTCGAACCCACGGCGGTCAGAGAATATCTCTCATTACACGAGTATGAGTCCCACGATGGACCCAGCGGGCCTGAGTTAAAAGCTGTAAACGCTACCCCCTGGCGCGAACGGGTTATGGCAAACATGGTCAAGGACCGCTCTAGACGAGTTTACGAACACTACTACACCTTTACCGCCGCGCCGCGGGATCTAGCATCTCTCTCTGCCGAGACAGAAAAGGGAGCGACTACCCCCTTCCTAGCCCCGGATGGCCTTACTAAAACCTTCCCCACGTCATCAACATCCTCCTCCTCCGAACCCGCCGTCCCCGCCATCCAATCATACATCAAGACACCGGACGGCGTCACCCTCCCCTACCGCCTCGAAGGCTCCACAAACCCTAACGCGCCCCTCATCATCCTCAGCAACAGCATCCTAACCCACTACAGAATCTGGGACGACTTCATCGCCACCTTCTTCTCCCCCTCCTCCTCTTTTTACCCCTCCAACCGCCAGTACAGAATCCTCCGCTACCTCACCCGCGGTCGCTCATCCAACTGCGGCCAGCAACCAATAACGCTCGACGTGCTGGCCGCAGATATAATAACCATCCTCGACGCCCTGCGTGTGCCCAAAGCCGCTGCCCTCATCGGCGTGAGCCTCGGCGGTGCGACGGTGCTGAACACCGCGCTGAAATACCCTGAGCGTGTGGGGACGTTCATCGCCTGTGACACGAACGCGAAGAGTCCTGATGAGAATAGCAAGGTGTGGGCGGAGAGGATTGCGCTGGCGGAGGCGGAGGGGGCGCTGGCGGCGTATACGGATGAGCCGATTGTTGGGGGGCAGTTGGCAGAGGTCACCGTCCGCAGATGGTTTGTTAGGGGGGGAACTTGTGATGGAGGAAAGGGGGAGTTGGAGGGAAGGTTTCGGCGGGTTAAGGAGATGGTTAAGGACAATAGTTTGGGGGGGTTTAGGAGGGTTGCGGAGGCTTTATTTCAGTATGATCTGCGGGAGGAAATGAGGAGGTATAGAGGGGCAAAGGGGGCATTTTTGGTCGGGGATGAGGATGGGGTGTTGCCTAAGACTATGAGGGAAATGGTTGGGATGATGGGGAGGGGTGATGCCAGGAAGGAGTCAGAGCCAGCGGCGGAGTTTTTGGTGGTGGAGGGCGCGGGGCACTTGCCGATGGTGGAGAAGCCGGAGAGGTTTGAGGAGTTGGTTAGTGGGTTTCTGGGGCAGAGAGAGGTAGGTAGGTAAATTAATAAATAGGCGAAGATGAAGATAGGGGAATACCCCTGGATTATGGTATTTTCTTTTTTTTTTTTTAAAAAAAAAAAAAAAAAGAAAGATAGGCCAGGGATCTTTCATGATATAGTCCTATTGATGCATCATGGTTTATTATTTTGATGACTCTCTCAACCTCTTGAGTTGAGTCTCTTCTAATATCCTCAACCGTCTATTGCTATGCAGCGTGGTAGAGAACATTGCTGGCAGGCAGAACAAAAGTCGAATTCACTCACTGTCGTTGTCTAATAGCAGTTCGGTCGTGTTTGTATCGGGATCAGGGCGCATGCGCATATAAACAAATATACCCCCTCTTTTTCAATGAACTCTTGAAAGATAGGAAGAAAACCACAAAGGAGCAAGATAATGCTGAAACATTTCACCTGTAAAATGGAAAGCCATACAAAAAACGACAAGAAAAAAAGAAAAGCTATTAGTTTTACAGAACAGCAGTAAAACAACGATTAGACGCACAAACAGACAAAAACAATAAAACAAAGAAGAACCCCAGCGCCGGTTTATTTGATTTATATCATCTCGTTTCAAATCAATACTCCCATATCAATCCCCTCCCACGGTCGTCCGTCCGTCAAGAGGAGGAGAAAATAATAAACAAAGCTCCCACACCCAGAAAAAAGAAAAACCGGAATAGGCAGAATGTTATGATCTCTTCCCCGCTTCCACCTTTTTTAGCTCCTCCCTACAAGCAAAACTCAAGAACATATTGTGTCAGCAAAGATAGAGAACGGCAAATATATATATATATAAAAAAAAAAAAAAAAAAAAAAAAAAAAAAAAAAAAAAAGAATGATACAACAGCAGCTGGCTAAGGATGGGAGAGGGGGGGGGGGGGGGGGGGAAGGAGAATGGCATCCGTACTTTAGCTGTTTCGAGAAATCCTCATTGTTGTCATCGTCGTCCCAGCTCTCCTCCCAGAGGTGGTTGGTGGTGTCTCCGCCAGACGCGAAGCCGGTTGTTTCAGCTTCTTCTTGAGGCCAGTCTATAGTGGAAGGAATGAAAAAGAAGGGAAATTAGCATTTTGCACTGGAGATAGATTGAGGAACGTATATAGGCACATGGATATATATTAAGGGGATCGAGATGCTTCGTTTCAGGCACCCATGAGATCGTGGAGTAAAATTGCGGAGAAGAAAGGCCACTTGCTGGAGGAGAGAGGGAGGAAATACCTTCGACTGGGAAATCTTCAAATTCGTCATCTTCTTCTAGGACGGCGGGCTTCTGCTGTTGAGTCTGGGGTGCAGCATCAGGTTGTTTTTGGCTTGTGGATTGCGTTGATGTGGCTTGGGCGGACATGGTTGGAGATTTTGGTGTTTGGTGTAGGCAGGGATTGAGATTGAGGTTTTCTGCTCCTGGGTGATTGCTTGACTATGTTTTAGATGTGAAGTACGGTATCGCCGGTGGTAAGTACTAGGAGAGGTGTGCTAAATTATTTTTGTGCCGTGTTGGAGAGCTTTGAAGATGCAATATTTATACCACGGTATGATGCGTTTTGATATCATGTGACTGTTTGCACCTCAGGATAGCAAACATGATAAACATGCCAAGATCTATCGTTCTACAGCGACACAAGTACTATGACGCTCAAGGTACTCCGTACGCTTTTGTCCGATACGAGTTTTTAAGGCCGATAGAATAAAGCCCGACAAGAAAACCTTTTTAAAAGGACGCCAGAGCTGGGCTCTAGACATTAAAGGGAAGAAGAGTGAGGCAATTCAAGAAAAAACTCCAAATTGCGTTGATGAGCTTCGATGTAACCGCCATGCCATGTACGGTAATTACAGCCGCAGCTCCAGGCTTCCGTCTGACACCGGACTAGACTACTTTTCTCCGCCGCAAAACCCGGCTGCGTTCGCTATCTTCCCTCAACTTCCTTCTTTTCTTTCTTTCTTCTTGCTTCTTCTCGCGATTCTCTCTCTCCTTTCTCTTCCCTGTATGCGTGCAATTCTGAGACAGTGCTATCTTGTCCACGTATGCTCTCTCTCTACAATGCTTGACCCGTCGTGAGCTATACATAGACTCGTGTTCCTCTAGTTCCTTCGGCTACGGTTCACGCCATTTTTCATCTCATGGGATACCCACACCTTTTTTGAGCTCTTTCTCTTCTGTTTGTTCATTTCTGTCCTTTGTACAAGGTCTTTGCAGCTTCAATTGTCCTATACCCGCCCCTTTCTCCGTCAAAAGACGCCATGTTTCGAGTGGGAACATGGCTGTACAACAAGGCAGCTCCGACGAGCGCCTCCACGCAGTCGCTTGATGCACTGGCAGAGTCACAAGATCGTAAGTTGTTACGGCCTCCTATACGGAGTACAGCTCTCTGGTATCTTAGTTCAGTAGCTGACATAGCTGTTTTGCGTCAATTGGCATATGAAGTTGAGAGTGCTCTTCGAGGTATTTAGATCTTCCGCCCCGCAAGAACACACCAAACAACTCCTTGAGATCAACTCATGCTGACACGGTGCCTATGCAGCTGCTACTTACATCATGAATGATGACGTTGACGCTGCTGAAGAGGGTCTAAACAAGGGTGATTCTTCTTTCCATAAGGTGTGTATGCACGACGGGTTGTCAAGGATATGTTTGCGGGGGATAATGGGTTTTGGTTCCTCCGTTTCTGGAAGCAAAGATTAATACAATGGGTGTTTCTATGTGTCGTTGTATAGCTTGGAAAAGGAATCGTCTCGTTCGTGCGGGCTACATTGGGTTTTGAGCAGGAAATCATGCGCCTTGGTATAGTTGCCCGCCTCTGTCGTTTCCGCTGTCTCATCCTTATAATGTTTTCTATCCAGCGGGCGAACGGCTATCTGAGGCGGAAACGTCCGCGTCAAATGATTACCATAAAGCTCAACATAATTCCCATGCCCTCAATGCGTACCGGTCGCCGATTTATAATCCTGGGACTGAATATCTTCTATGCCGAAGTATGGCGCAGCTTATGGCTGCTCTGGTTGGAATCCTTAACGAAAGCCTAACGGAGAGCATCAAGGCTTTCTACAAACTAAGGAAAGCGTACATCGCATTAGATAGTATAATGCAGATGGAGGAGAAATATCTGCAAGCGGAAGCTACAAAGAAGATGGCCTCCTCGACCATCTCGTTGTCGCCTAGCCTCCCTCTAGCATTGTCCGCGGAGCCGTCAGAAAATGGAAAGCACAAGCTAAAAACTCCTGGAATAGAAGCCGACGGGGCTTCAGACTCCATGCTCAAAAATTCACATTCGTCACGCAATGAAACTCCTATACCCTCAGTTCAGAGTGGCGAGCGAAGACTTACCAACGATTTTGCGGGGCGCTCTCTTGCGGAAGCTGAAAAACTATCGTCACGGCCTTCTGAGAGCCTTTCATCCTCAACACCACACCTGGACCACGATCCCGATTCAGATTTATTTACAAATCCTGTGGATGTATTTGTCCATTCCGGCGCGAACCTCTGCTTTGGGCTTTTGCTGCTCCTTATCTCGATGGTTCCGCCTGCATTTTCAAAATTGCTCTATATTGTGGGCTTTAGAGGAGATCGAACCCGTGGTCTTCAGATGCTATGGCAAGCTAGCAAATTCAATAATTTAAATGGTGCCATTGCCGGTCTGGCCCTGCTGGCGTACTATAATGGGTTTATTCGAAATTGCGACATCATCGACGACTCTCCAAATGAAACCGAAGACGGCACGGACAGCTATTCGGAACGTCGACTCTCTGCTTTATTGTCAGAAATGAGGAATCGATTTCCCCATAGCCATCTTTGGCTCTTGGAGGAATCTCTAATGCAGGGGGCAAAGAAAAACTTGACCTCTGCCCTAGCGCTACTCTCGGGCGATACCAAAAGCCCTCTGAAGCAGGTTGAAGCGTTGTGTATGTTCGAAAAGAGTTTGAATGCTATGCATCTTCATAAATATGAATTGTGTGCGGAATCGTTTATAGAAGTAAGGAGTCCAAACCAGCCGCATCCCCACATTCACCTTTAATCTCTGGACTATTTATAAACCTCCCTAACTTATTACCGTTTAGTGCGCTGACCTCAATTCGTGGTCCCGAGCTTTATATTATTACATCGCCGCATCAGCTCATCTTGCCATCTACCGGCAGAATGCTCAGGATTCGCCTTCTCTGGCCAAGGAGCATGCTGCCAAAGCCGTTGAGTTATTCCAAAAAGCTCCATCCCAAGCAGGCAAAAAGAAATTTATGGCACGTCAACTTCCCTTTGATGTATTCGTGGCCCGGAAAATCTCAAAATGGGAATCACGTGCCAAGGAATGGAATGTCGACTTTATCGACGCGATCGGCGTAGACCCGTTTGAAGAAATGATCTACTTTTGGAACGGCCACAGTCGCATGAACAAGGAAGAGCTTGAAAATTCTCTGAGATGCTTAGAGTGGTCAGAGAGCGAGCATAACAAACACTGGGATCGTGAAAGTACAGACGAGCGTGCCATTTTAGCTCTCCTCCGCGCTTCCATATTGCGTTTCCTGAGAAGACACGATGAGTCGAAGAAACTCTTACAGTCCCAGATCCTCGTGCACGACAGGGCGACATTCAAAGGCCATCTGAAAGATGACTGGACTTGCCCAACTGCACACTACGAGATGGCAGCAAATTTGTGGATGGAACGCTACGCGTATCGCCCACTTTGTTCCACACCAGCAGATGACCCTGCCAATTCTCCAAGTCGGCCTGAATCCGCCTCGGCAACAGACCCCAACTCTTCATCGAAACCGTCAACTCCAGTTTCCTCCGAGCATATCCCCCGCTCAAACGAAAGCGTAGAAGCCCATGACTGGCGTAAAGTTTGCGAGTGCAGAGAGTGGATTGACAAGGTTGCGAAATGGGAAACGTATGAACTAGACGCCAGGGTGGGTCTCAAAGTTACCATGGCAGAGGAGACGTTAGAGAAATTTGAAGCGGCCAATGCAAGCTAAGAGAGATGTTCCCTCTCTTTTGATCTTGATATTTTATTTTCTATATTTTTGTTTCTTTCTTGGGTGCTTGTTTTCTCATTATTTTTGTTCCCTGTTGTCTCCCCGGTTCCTTTCCTTTTCGTTTTGTTTCCCAAGTCCCTTAGTGTATGACGCCTTAGGTGGGGATGCGGCTCTGTTACGGACTGTTTTTCCCCTGCTTTCTCCGGCTTCTGCCCGTCTCAAGTCCGAGTACAGACAGACTGAAAATACCTTCGGGGCCCCACATGGCCCCGAAGGAACAAGCTATGACGTCTGCAACTTCTTTAAATAGCTCGCGCCTTGATGTCTGCAATATATAGGGAACGTTCGCTCCTATGGTATGGTTCTTTCTTCTCATTTCTAATTCAGCGTTTTGTGTCAAGCATATAAAATCTCACTCGGTCTTTCACCGAAGACAGAAGACAACCTTGATCGCCAGGGGCTACGCCTCAAACAAGTCGATAAACTCTATTCCCGATTAGCCCGCCTCCAGCCGACTTAGAGCGCATAATCATTCGATCTCCTGGGGGCAATAATCTCAGAGACATATCTCCAATTTCTCCAAGCGCTCGCTATCCCCATCTTAAACTCTTTCTACCCACGGCCTTCGTCTTAAATATTGCAAGGCACTCCACCACCCTGCAACTTGAAAACGAGATGACATCAGCATCTTCCTCACTGCCGGCCGGCAATGGCACTTCACCGCGTATCTCGGAGAAGACCGGGCCTGAATTCAACGATGGGGATGACCTCAATTCCCTTGAAAACTCACAGCAACATCGTACAGCCAGCATCTCAAGCCAACCATCCCCCAGCTTGAGTAGAATCCAATCGGCAATGTCGACCGCCTCCCAGCATTACAATACCGTCCTCAGCCATGTCCGGAGTCGTAATCCGGACCAGATGCGCCCATTCACCCACCCGCTATCGCACCAGAAAACGTCACCGGATGTCATTGTTGGCTTTGACGGACCTGATGATGCGTATAACCCGATAAATTGGCCATTTCGCAAAAAGGCGATCACGACACTTCTATATGGGTTGACTACAATGGGTATGGAATCTAGCTGTCCCTTTTCGTGGTAGCGGCACGTGGAGCATTCAATTAATACTTCTTCCTCACGCTTTCTTGCAGGTTCTACGTGGTCCAGCGCAGTGTAAGACCCAAGCCTACCTATATTGATACCAAATGAGCTATCAACCATTCACCCATCCCTCCCCTAATTAGGGACATCATATGCTGACCATTTCGCCCAGCTACTCTCCCGGAATCGCCCAAGTTGACGCCGACTTCAACGCTTCAGAGCAAGTGGGGGTGCTGGGAGTCAGCTTCCTGCTCTTTGGCTTTGGCCTGGGGCCCTTACTATGGGCCCCGCTGTCCGAACTCTACGGACGCAAGCCTGCAGTCCTCTTCCCGTATTTTATTGCTGCGATATTTATGTTCGCATCTGGCAGTGCAAAGGATATCCAGACAGTGGTCATATCACGTTTCTTCGCTGGTTTCTTTGGTTCCGCGCCGATCACGAATACTGGAGGAGTGTTGAGTGATTTGTTCCCGCCTGAACAACGGGCTGTCGCTATTGTCGGCTATGCGTTGGCTGTTGTTGGTGGACCCAGTTTGGGGCCAATTGTGGGAGCAGCTATTGTGCAGAGCGATCTGCGTTGGAGATGGGCGGAATATGTGAGTTTTGGTACTGGCCGGGGAATATCCGGCCCCTATCCCATTTTGCTTGGCATTCTCCAACGAACGTGGGTCTAGCAACTCAAAACTAACTCTGACCTAGATAACGGGCATAATGATGATCTTCTTCCTTATCCTCGATGTGATTTTCATAGACGAAACCTACCCTGCCGCCCTCCTTGTCAAGAAAGCCCGTCGTCTCCGCTATGAAACAGGCAACTGGGCTTTGCACGCCCGCCATGAAGAATGGGATGTCAGTTTCATCGAAATGGCGAACAAATATCTGATCGTCCCCTTCCAGCTCCTGTGCACTCCCATCTGCCTCCTCATCGCCACGTACGCCTCCTTCGTCTACGGCATTCTATATCTCAGTTTATCTTCCTTCCCCATCGCCTTCATTGAAGTCCGTGGCTGGGGCTATCTCGTCGGCCACCTTCCATTCCTTGGCTTGCTGGCCGGTGTCATCTTGGGCGGAGGTGTAAATATCTATAACCAGAAATTCTACTTGAAGAAATTCTACGCCAACAACCGGCGACCAGTCCCTGAGGCCCGCCTGCCACCCATGATGGTCGGGTCTGTGTTCTTCTCTGCAGGCCTATTCATCTTCGGCTGGACGTCTCCGACCCACATCCCCTGGATCGCTCAGGTGATCGGTACAGTGTCCTTGGGCTTTGGGTTCTTCACTGTCTTCCAGGCAGCCTTGAATTATCTGATCGATACATTCTCAACCGTCTCGGCTAGTGCGATTGGCGCTACCACGTTTCTACGCAGTTTTTCCGCGGGTTCGTTCCCATTGTTTTCTAGGATTATGTATGGGAAGCTTGGAGTGCCGTGGGCGTCGAGCCTGTTGGGTTTTGTGTCGTTGCCTCTGATACTGATTCCGTATCTCTTTTATATCTATGGGAAACGGATTAGAGCGAGGGGGAAGTGGTCGCGTTCTTCTGTGTACCCGCCGTGAGTTTTCTCTGGAAATGAAGGAAATAGAAAATTGGCATGATAAAAAGTATATCGGGTCTGGTGTTCTTAGCTATTCCTTAACTAGTAAATAGATGGTCGAGAAGCAGGGCGATAAGAAAAGTAAGTATTCTATATATTATATAGAACTCTGAAAGTGAATAAATAAAGAAGTTGAAGAATATAAAAGAGAAGAAATATAAAAAAGTCTTATTAAGTAAGTATAAAAGATATTTTATATAAATCGATTATTCCTTAGATATTTGACTTCTTACATCGCTATTTAAAATGCCACATTTCAACCGAAACCCATGATTAGTATCCATCCTTGCCTAGTATTATCCCATATGCTCCTCCGCCATTCCCAAACATGCATTTCAAGTCGCAGGTGAGAAATTCGGATGTTCGTGGGCATAGAAGTGCCTATGACTGTACGTTAACAGAGTGATAAATGGCGTTGAAGTTGCTGCTCAGGCCAGTTTTCATATCAAAGCAACGAATGCAAAAGCTTGCCCTCCCCTTTCATTCTCCGCCTGATAACACTACATTCCCAAATGTCCCACCCCATCGAGTGGGTAACGTTTCCAGTTCTTTCGGATTATACGTAAGCCCAATCTTCACTTCCTCAGTATACTCCAGCATACCTCCATAATTGAGTGTCACCAGTTTCCCATACTGGTTTTTGATGGCAGCATCCGCATGGGCAACTTCAAAGTATATCCTATGTGCAGCACCAGGCCCCGCACGACTAAAGGCATATATGCATATCCAGGTGAGGATTTCGTCATCTGTCCAGGGGTATGCGTCAGACCAGTCGTGCAATTTCTCATTGATCCAAGCCACAATGGGGGAGTCGTGGAGAGCGTAGACGAGTGTTTTGAGGTTTTGTAGACTCAATATAGTTGTAGCCTTTTTTGAGGGGTCAGCATTGTATTGTATCCTCATTGCTTGTCCAACTCTGCCATGTGCATATTTATCACACTTTTGATTTGCATTTGATAGAGCACGTAAAATACGCATGAAGCCATCCAACTCACCTTTTCCCTCTCTCCCGAACAGTTCATTGCGCTTCAGCGCCCTCTTATACATCCTCGCTGTATGGTAACAGTGCATTCTGCAGTGCAAGTAGAGGATTAGTTTTGAAAGTCGGTGGGCCCGTGTAGGCCATATTATAATGGCTCGCCCTACAGCTTTCAGGATAGAGCTTCCCAATAGCTCGAGTAATCCAATACCCCCAGTCACCAGCCTGCGTGACATACTCAGGGTACCCCAGTTGGTGCATCGGCTTGTTGCAGGTTTCTGCATACTGAGCCCAAAACCTCGTTTGGACACCCTGACTGAAGCCGAAGTTTGGCAGCGAGGGGCCAACTACGTGAAAGGCTGGGCTGCTAGCATCATCGTCATCGTTGTTTTGAGATAGCAGAGGAAGAATCCGTAACACTTCAATAAAGAGCCGGCCCTGTATTGACCATAGGTCAGAAAGATGATTCCCCCTACTCGTCCATTCATGATGGTGTATCCATCATTTACATCCATGCACAAAAAGTAACGGGATCGCGTTTGCAACTGTGCTCTCCTGATATGCAAAATGAATACTCAAGCTCCCGAACCCATCCACGTCAATACATTGCTCATTCAGCCTCCTTTCAGCCAGTCTCCAATCCCAGGTTTCCCAGGCTTTTGCTAACCTCGAAACTTCGGTGAGTGGTATCCCTAGATCCCACCCTGCTCCGTCGAGTTCATCGGGGAGCTCGGGAGCTCTGCCAGGGCGAGCTTTTGTTTGAGCTTGTCGATTTTGCTTAGAGAGGTGTGGTGAAAGGCCTCAGAGGAACCATTTGATAACAATTGCTCAAATATATGGGTTGCCTTTGGTTACTCTAGAGATTAAGGGTCGATCTGCAAAAATTTCCCCTGGGAGGAACAATGGTGATATTACTTCGACCTAGGTAATTTATTTCTTGCAGAATCGGACTGGATCTGATGGGTTGGGACTTTATGTACGCCCATCCTCCTGCAGTTTTTATATCAAAATCATCAGCTTTGTCCCGTGCAGAGCGAGGCCTTGAAGATTGATGAACCGGTTTCTATTGACGATCGTCGAGCAATCGAAGCCCGGCCGAATTAATATGTGATTCGAGAAAGGGTCAGTTGCTAAAATCTGGTCCACCTAGCTCGGATGACACGCGGAGAACGGGCTGGCTTTAACTCTCACTAGGGAAATGACCTTTCGATTCTCTCCCATTCATCTCAAACCTGATTCCCATTCACGTCACAGAGCAATGGCGATACCATGTCGTAAAAAGCACCTGGGAATAAGAAGGGGCAAGGAATATAAACCATGAAACCTGTTATAAATACAGACCAACTGTTAACCACCTAAGTTGTAAGTAATACCATACTCAATGCCTATCATGTAAATGAATAAAAAAATTTAGGGGGAGGTAAATAGTAACGTGACAAGGAGACAGGCGCCAGGAATGGTGGAAAGGGAAGAGAACGCCAACTGTTTAAACTAGTGAAACTAGATGGGCAAAATGGTTATCTAAACAAATCAGAAGAAAGGGTAAATGAGAAATCACAAAGTATCCATCGCATCCACGTTATTCAATCTATCATCATTGATCATATCCATATCCTCTTCCCCACCCTCAACAAACCCAAACTCCCAATCCCCATTCTCAATCCTGCTAACTCGATCTAGCTCCGCTTGATACTCTCTTCGCAAATCTTCCAGTGTAACAATTATGCGCTTAGAAAGTTTCGATTGGTGAGCTATGGATTGCTGGGACGATGTGGTGCTAAATTTCCTTTCACCGACACCAACACTCGAGCGTGGTGAATACGCCATACCGTTTGCAGCGGACGGGGATGAAAACGAGACCCGGGGCGACTTTGTCACCGCAGTAGAGTCCAGAAATACGGAGCCGTCATCCGCAGCAGCACTGCTGAGGACACTACTGCCTCGCGGACGAGCGTTTTTTGGTGAACTAGGAACCTCGACAAGGATATAAGCTTCGTCCTTATCCATACAGGCAAGGAGGTTTATCAGAGACAGAAGCTCATTTCGGAGGTTCTTGCTCTCCATGTCATCCTCATCCACTTCATGGTGTCGCGGCGGTGCTGATTCATTCACATTTCGTCGGATCATCAGTGCACGTGCCGAGTACATGCCGCGATCCCTCATCTCGCGGAGGCGCTGGACGGCTTGATATGACACCTCCGCTGCGCCACGGATATCATTACGTGCTACGCGGTAGGCTTGGAGGACGCGCTGGTAATCTGGGATATCGGATTTGTCCTGCCACGACGCCGCTGTGGGTAAAGCTTGCCCTTGTGATCGGCCGTGCGTTAATTGTTTCTTCGCGAGCGATAGGAGGACTTCGTCAACGTGAGAGGCTAGATCTGGTGCCAATGATATGGGGAATCGGAGGATCTTTTGGAGGCCGGCAATGCCTGGCCCTGATGCGGCCAAGATAGTGGTGATTAAGGAGGTGAGAGCAGATTTTTGCAATGCGGCATCTGTGTATCGTGAAAGTGCAGAGTAGGCTTCGTCAAAACGACAGGTCTTCAGGGAAGCATGGAATAGACGGGAAAGAAGGTCAGTCCGGAGATGTATGTAGTCAGAGGTGGGTTCGTTTTTCCTCGGGTCAGATTCCAAGGCCTGGAGGGCAAGACGGGCAAAATCAGCAACATGAGCAAATGCCCGTGCATGCTCGAATATCGAGAGAATGTGCTGAAAGTATTTCGGCAGCCCGTCATAAAAGCTATTGACCGATATTATATCAAGGAGGTTAGAAGACATTTCATGGAGATTTCCAACAGCCTTTCCGTGTGCTAAATGCGAGCGGAATTACTTATGTTAGCCATGTATTATTTCCCCATACAAGTCATAGTTGAATTTGCACTGAATTTTGCACTTACAAAGAATGTATGCTGCTTTTTGGAAATAGATAGCCGCCGCGTCGAACTCAGATTTTGCCACGTATAGCCTTCCTTTGACATACGTAGACCAAGCGGTATTTGGCTGGAACCGTAAGAAGTCGGAGGCTAGGTCAATGTTACCAGAAGCCAGGAGGTCGCATTGAATAAACACCAAAACATTCGGAAACGGCACTTCGCCCTGTCTTGTGATCCATGACACCACGTCTCGAATTTGTTGTGTAAGCGTAAATGTTTGAGGAACAGCGAATGTCGGGCGCGGTTTGATATGGCAGGCGAAAAGGTCTTCGAGAATGGTCGATAATCGAAGCTCTTGGTTCCCCGTGCCCACTTCCTTGGATAATGCCGGTGATAACGAACTACTTTCTCTTCCATGGGGTGGATTTCCAGGCCACGGTCGAACATTCGATCCCAACCATATCATCATCTCATATTCCTTTAACAGCTCAATCAGGGTCACAAACAGATCTACCCCATCAAAGAGCACGCCATCTTCCTGCGTCAACTCGGTCTCGACGAAAACAGTAAGTAGTAAAAGGTCATATAGCACTTGTTTATTGAGCCGTATCGTTTCCAAGGCACCCTGAACAGTCACCATCCGTCCGAAATCTGTTGACAGAAGTTCGGAATCTTTTCCAGGGAATCCAAGCGGCATCGTATCGATAATGGAAAGAAAGAGTTCGGTGGTGAGCTTCTTAAACCCGATAGCGATGTCAACGCTCGTAAATATGCTATCAAACATATCATCCGTGATCAACTCGGACAATTTGCTCTGTGCGTGAAACGCAGCAATTCGCTGTGCTGCAGACAGAGAAGGCTCCGTGAAAAGCTCCGCATTCAGTGCGGCTGCACACGCTTGACTCAGCTCTGGGGTGAATTTCTGTCTAAAGGATGAGGCAACTTCGATAAGCGCCGCCGCTAGTTCTGATCGATCTTTCAACTCCTGATCCAAGTTCCTATGATGAAAAGAGTCTTCCAGCGCTCTTCTATGATCTCTCAACGCATGGTCGTCATTATGGACAAGTAGCTCTGTGCTGCTACATTCTCTAATGAGACAACACCCATCAGCGAAGAGCAGCCATGGAAGATCTGTAAACGCGTCATAACTAAGTGAAATCGCCTGGCTTCTCTTTTTATTGAGGTCATCAGCAATTTGCCAAAACTGCCGCCATTTGGTATCTGTTTCTCGTCGATACTTGGTATAGTCGACTCCAGCGTCATTGAATTTTCGCAGTGACACTGATTCCGAAATTGTTGAGCAGAGCTGTTGCTGGAGCGGCGTAGACTTTTTGCTGAATCCTGTTGCCGGTTTAATTTTCATCGCGTCTTGGTATACAGCAAGGGATGTCGCAAGGACTTCACGAGAGTACTTTCCGGGATAAAAAAGATACTCCAACCATTTCTCTGCTGGATCGGCAATATCAGATGCCAGGAAACTCGGGGGCGGTTCGTCCCAGCGGGTCTCTAACGCCATTCCCGTCCAATTGCGACGCCATGCCGACTCCAAATCATCCAGGTTGAAATGTAGGCTGTAAATCTGATAGAGGTTGTTGTTTCTCCAAAGCACCCAAAGAACCATGTGTCTTCCTTCCTCCATGGACTTAATTTGAAAGTCCGCAATCGTCCAAAACACACTTCCTGAAGGGTCCGGGTCAGCAGGTTTTAATTTGGAATCTGGGAAAAGATCCTCCATCTCCAATCGTGAGGTCAATCCACCCTTCACAGCCCAGAATTTAAACTGGCCATCGTCCAGAGGTGAGTAAGTGACCGCATAGTACGTTTCACCCTCCATAGCCCTTTCAGCATTGAAAACACGAATGAACGCGGACTCAGAGGGATTCAGCGTTGCAGGCACAGTATCTTGTTGTTGCCCAGTCCGATTTAGCAGATCTTTCGTTGCAACCAGCTTATGGCTTGCCAAATTCCAAATTTTTAATGTATGATTGAGGCCTACGACGAACACGAAGGCCTGGTCAGAGGTCGTAGCAATGGCATTGGAAGTATTCGGATCCAATACTCGTCCATCGAAACGTATCTGCTGTTGACCACTCCATTTCACGAGACCACGTAACGAGGACCCCCAAGGCTTCTCATCAAAGGTGATCGCAGACCAATTTGATCCTATGAAACAATAAAAACAAACAAGCAATCAGTAAAAGAAAACATCTCTCACGACACTCATAGGATAGCAGGCTGGCTAGCCAGCTCGCTATCCTTACAATACGTACCATCATCACCCACCCTTCTAGTCAACCTGAGAAGCGCCCCATTATCCAACGAAATAAACAATTCCTGAGGACTACTCGCATGCAGACGGTGCGGGTGCGCAAAAGCCAACGGCGCCGGACAGCTCACTTTACACCAATCGGTCACATTCTCATCAATCGCCGCGGCACGTCGAAAGAACTCCTGCCGCAGACTAATGGTGTACAACTGCCTATCCCTCGTGACAACAAACAAACTCAGGACCTCATGGTCCTCCAAATCCGCCAGCGCAACGCCGTGCGGTATAATCTTCTCCGGGAACTCGAGGCGAAGAAGCAGTTTCGCCTCGTGCTGGTGCTGATAGTGGCTGGTGCTGTTCGCGTTGTTGGACGTCGTCATCATCGACGCCGCCGCCGCCGCCGTCGTCGTGCTGCCCGTCGTCGGTGTCATCGCCTCGCTGGCACTCTTGGTCAAGTCTACCGACTGGATCTCGAGAAACTTATCATCGTCCCCGCCATCATTGCCGCCTACGACTCGCCAGAGGAAGCTGCGTGGGTATGTTTTCCGCTTGCGGAAGTAGACTGCACCCTGTGTGGCTAGATAGCGCTTCGCGAACGCGTCTTCATCCCTCGTCGTGTCGTCGGAGTGTGTAGCTGTTGAAGTAGAAGGGAGGAGGGAGAATTTGGTACGCCGCTGCTGCGGGTTGCTGTGACCGTATGAGGATGATAGGATGGGGATGTTTACGATCGATGCGGGCGCGGTTGGTCGGGCATCGACCTTGGTCTCCTTGTATATTTTGAGCATGCTGGGCATGGAAGGAGTGAGAGGGTATTCCCAGTTATAGAGGATGGGTAGTTCTAACTACCCATTGCTAGTTGTTTGGCGTGGGGAGGTAGGTAGATGGTCAGCGGTGGTGTGAATGGTGCTGGTTGCGGCTTTCGCGATAAAAAAAACAAGGTTTGGGGAACCTAAGCTTGCACCAGAGTATTTACTCCGTAACTACTAACAAGACTCACCAGCAACCAACAAGAGGCAATGCAGACCTTACAGAAAATGAAAGCCAACAATACTAGAATCAAATTACCGTTGTAATAATCGTATATAATATGGTATATGCTCTTAATATAAGAAAGACTCATCTAAAAAATATTTCTATAGCACCAATTGCATTGTTTTCGAGCTCAAAAAACAGACCCGACAAACAACTTGGGACTCTGTTAATTAATCGGCATGAACACATAAGACATTAACAAAAATAAATAAAAAATAAAAAATAAAAATAAAATAAAAATAAAAATAAAAATAAAAATAAATCCCATTCTCTCCCTTCCTTGTCTTCCCTCCAGACGCCAGTCCCGAGTTGCGCAATGCCATAAGCAAACAAATAGAAAAGAAAAGTAAAATGCTTAGAATCCGACAAGGGTAAAAGGGAAGATATAGCCGAAAATATCAAGCAGCTCCCGGCCATACTTCACCATCCACTGCCCACCACCCAGGCCAATCCGATCCGTCAATCCTTCTCCAAATCCTTCGGATTCGGATCCCCAATCCCATCCTCATTGATCGCAAACAGACAATCACTCTCCGGAAGACAGGGGCTATCATAAATCTTGCAAATCCGAGTCTCCCCGCGGCCCTTCCTCAAACTCAATCTCGTCGTGCTAGCATGCGCAATAATATTGCCTCCAATCGGCTTCTTCGGGTCTGGGTTGAACATAGCACTTGGCCCGCCATCTACTTGCGCAACCACCTGGTTCGTGATGACAACCGCAATGCCAAACTCATCAGCAAGAGTCCGCAGCTTCCGCATGAACTTGGCAAGGTGGTTTTGCCGGTTCGCTAGCTCGCCTCGACCACTGAAGTCCGTCCGATAGAGAGCTGTAGCCGAGTCAACGATGAGGAGGGAAAATCGCGTTTCGCACATCATCTGAGACGCTTGGTTCAGTAGCTGCAGTTGGTGGTCAGAATTGTAAGCTCTGGCATATGCGATGTTATCGAGCACCTCTTCGCCAACGAGTCCATAACGCTGAGCGACAGCAAGTAGTCGCACCGGACGGAATGTGCCCTCCGTATCAATATATAGGCATTTCCCCTCTCCGCCACCCATGTCAAAAGGTAGTTGGCAAGTTACTGCCAGGGTATGGCAAATCTGACTCTTTCCCGTTCTGAATTCCCCGAAAATCTCAGTAATGGATCCCGTCTCGATGCCACCGGCCAGTAAAGTATCCAATTGCTTTGATCCTGTTGTTATGCATATCAAGTCGTTCCGTCGAGCATGCATTTCAGTCGCCGTTGTGAAACCCATGGGTACGATTCTCGAAGCTACATAGACGAAGTTAGCGCCCACGTGTAGAGGGGCCGGGAGAATAATAAAACCTGAATAGGCCAAATAGATAAAGAGCAAAACATACCCTCCGCAAGAATCTTGGCCGCTTTCTGTTCGGATATACCTTTTATCTGCTCTAGCGCGCGCTTCGGCCTAGAGCAACAAAACAAAAACAAGGAGATTAGCACACAACTAAAGTAACATAAACAAAAAAGCAAACAGCAGAATGGAACATACGTATACGCCACCGACTCAATAGTATGATACCCACCCTCAATCACCAGCTTAATATCTCGCGCAGTCAGGCCATTCATTCCCTAATGCAAACCAATGCAAGGCATAAAAATTGTCAGTCCGACTCAATTAACGCAGTATACAGCAAATCTGTCCCCAAGTAAAAATTCAAAAATTCGTAAAACAGCAGTCCCTTGGTTGGTCGATATAAGATTTGCCACTAACCTCCAACGCAGTCAGGGGCGTGGGTGCCCCAGGTCCCGTGAGGCCGTTCTCCTCATATTCATTCTGGCTCCCGTCTTCGACTGTCATAGTTTCCACTGCTCTGCTGCTCTGCCGTCGGCTGTCTGCTGTATATCTGTATATCTATATGTATATGTCTCGGGGGGCGCGATCAACCAGAGACCCCGGTTCGTCTCTACCGCCGGGAAAGTCAACAGCGGCTTTTCTCAGATGGGTTGTTGAGGCAGCAGCCAGACGCGTCTGGACAGGATATTCACACCCAACGCCTGCCGTGAAAGCCAAAGGGGGATCTTATGAAGACCGCAACAGACATACACAGCAAGTCCCAGTAGCCAGATGCCGGAAAGGAGGGATAGAGCTGATAATGTAGGTAAAATTTAGCGAGGAGAATTCGTCGTCAAGATGTTGATGTTGTTTTGCCCTTTTTGGACGCGACGGAAGGAAGCCTAGTTAGGTCGCGAGATCATGTGACTTTAATTTAACCAACTCCGTCAATCCAGCCTGAGGTTATGTTTTATTACATCCTCTATCCTATCCCATGAACAATATGCATTTATTTTCTATAAACAGAGGAAAGAGAAGAAGTGAATAGCAAAGACGAAGGGCAGCAACAACGAAAAAAAAAAAGAAAGAAAAGAAAAAAGAAAAAAGAAAAAAAAAAGAAACGATATAATGTAACTTTCTCTCCTCTGATATACAAAAGCAATTCAATCAATTCCGGGCACGACACGCCGTCCCTCCCTTCTTCTTGAAAAGGACCGTATTGAATTGTCAAGAGAAAAATAACAATCCCAACCAACGCCCTAGTTGGATTTATACATATATTCACCCTCTTTCTCCCTCATACACATACCACTCTCACACAGCCTGGGCCGCAGGAAGCCCCCTGAACTGAGTTGCAATAGCATGCGCATGATCATATTCATCATCCCTATCATCCACCTCGACACACCCACTTCGCCCATTCCCAAACTGGCCTGTCTCTGCGATGCTGAACCGTCTGCGGTTATGAAGCGGTAGCAAATCGCTATGTTGCTGGTCATCAACAGTCCGGCAGTTCTCTATCGAGTTCAAGTGAGCCTGTTCGTAAGGTGGTCCACTTGCTGATCGAAGTTGCGCGTTTCCAGATACATATTCGAGAGCCCCGGACTCGGACTCGACAGAGCGGCCGTGCAAATGTAGGTTGTTTTCTGAAGCTAATGTATATTGAAAAGTTTGCACAGATTTGATCAGTCGTCAGTATTTCTACATTTTTCCAGGCTAAATATTACCCCAATCTCTCGCTCAAGATTACCGAGATGCTAGGAAAGATCACATACCTGTAGCAATAGGTGTAATAAAACTCGACTCCTGAGGCTCAAACGCACTTCCATCTTCTGCTATGCGGGAGTTTATACTACTATACCCGCTCTCCTGCTGCTGGTCGGATGATTCCACTCCTCCACCCAGTTCACCAAATTCAAATTCAGAGTATCCATTATCGCTCTGTGGAGTATGTGATTCAGCCTCGCTCTCCTGCTCGTTTCTCGGAACAAATTCACTCTTCGCGCGTCTACCTTTCGTTCCTGAACTCGACGCATTGGCATTGTTGTGAACCCCAGGATACGGCAGGGGCGAGCTGACAGAGGCCGGTTTGGAGCGGCCAAGGGTAGCGTTCTTTGGGGATAAGTAATCAGGTCCGCGTCTAGAAGGAAGAGGAGGATGGCAAGCGAGAGTCGACTTGGATCCTAGACTTGCCGGCCTACTAGGATCCGGCGTTGGACCCCATATGGGACTTCCGGCTGGTGTGTTTGGGTTTGATATCCAAATCCCTTCAACCTCGATGCCCCGTTCTATCGCCCTCGAGCCGAAGGGTATCTCATCACTTCCCGCCTCGAGCATTGCAGGCGTACGTACAGTTGCTGCTTCTGTTGCGGCTGCCGCGCGAAGTTTTTTCAACCGCAGTGAGTTATATATGTGAACCCCGGTACCGTATACGAGTACAAGAAACTGTCATGTGAAAAGAAGCGGAGGGAAACCATATATATGTTAGAATAGGAGTATTCATAGTGACGCTTTCAATGGAGGGTAGATCGGGGAGAACAGTACTATAAGACATCCGAGGACCTAGAATGGTATTTTATTTAGTCGAGAAACGGTTACTCAAATGAAAATTTAAAGGTGGGTTGCGCAGCACTGGCCTTGCACAATATATATATGTGCATATAAGCAAAACACTGGTACAAAGAGGAAAAGGAAAAAAACTCACGAAGCACATTTTCAACCACAGCGCCCAATCCACAAAAAACACCATGGTGCGTCAACGTCGGATGCTAATTCGATCGATATGCAGGCCCGTTGACATTGAGAGTTGGTAGGAATTACTTCTGATACGAGATACCCGGATAGCCAGGGGGATATGGCATTCACCCACGAGAAGAGAGCAGGAGAAGGAGAAGACACAGATAATATCCGCTCGATAAAGAAAAAACAGCTGAGACGGGCGACAGTGAAGCACGGGCCGGCAGGACTATCGTGATACAGCGAAGGCGCATGGGAACTGGCCGAAAGCAGGGATTGTGTATATATATGTATACACCTCTATATGGGACTAGAAACGTATGTATATATGTATGTATGTAAGTATGTATGAAGTACAGAAAGGGAACAAAAAAAAAAAGAGTCGAGGAGAGATTTATCGCGATGTTTCTCTTTTCTTCTCTTTTCTTCTTCTTCTTCTTCTTTTTTTTTTTTTTTTTTTCTTTTGCAGTTGCTCGGGTCTCCGCGCGGGCTGTCGCTTCCCCCCGGAATGGAAGCAGAAAAAGAGAAAGAGAAAGAGAAAAGGAGCTTCGACTGTAAGGAGACGACGATGAGCAGAGAAAATTATAATGTACAGTGCAGACACGGCACATCCAGCAGAAGGAAACAAGAGAAAGCTCTCAGGGAAACCATAATTGTAGGCATTCATTCATCATGGGTTGAGGGTCCAGGGCGCCATTTTGATATTCACAGCTTGGGGATGGGCGAGGACAACGTATTAATTAGTTCAAGTATTTAGTTCAAAGTAGAGAGATAAAGAGGGGAAAAGGAGAGTTCTCCTCAGGGGAGTTTCAGATAGAAAAGTGAAAAAGAATGTCTCTATTGAACAAGAATGTATCAGAAAGGAAACTTCCATTATTCTCATATTAGAGGGGGGAGAATGAAATGAAATGAAAAAATAAATAAATAAATAAATAAATAAAAATAAAATAAAAATAAAAATCTGTGCAGCAGAACTGCTTATGCAAATGCGTACTTCAGCAGGTAAATAAGCGGAAAGGAAGAATAAAAAGAACAACACAGAATATATCGAACATGCTTAATGTTGATGAAGCGGTCAAATGAAAAACCGCGATAGAGAAGATCTGTCGAGATCCTTGAAGCCGCCTGACTGGCAAGAAAACAAAGGGAAAAATAAAACATATAGAAAGAGAAGAAAAAAAGACATAAAAAAATATAAAACTTAGCAATATAAAGAAACATCGCCAACCAGATCGTGCAGGAGGAACAAGGGGGGCAAAACAATAAAACAAAATGCTTGTCTGATCTCTGACTCAAGCATCCAATAGAGAACAAAAGAGCGCACTCTCGATCCCCCAATCCCCCATCCCATCCCAGGATACGGATTTGCGACTCTCTACGGGCCAGTGTTTCCTCGATGCAAGCAGAGCGGGGACGGACATGTAGTTATGAGGTTTGCCTTTGTGCATGCCGCGCCTGCGCCTGCGCCCTGCCTGGTGGATGAAGGAGAATGAATGAATGGTTAATGGTTAATGGTTAATGGTGGAAAAAGAACATTTTCGGATGGAAAAGCCAGTTGTTCGAAGTCCGAGACAGCGCGGTGAGACAGCTACATAGATTCGATTTGCCCCCTTCTGTGAAAACGGGTCTCATGTAACTCTGCGTGCATAAGTGCCCGGGGAGATGTAGATCAGGAAGCAGAAGGGGGGTTAAGATTGGAGATTTGACTATTTAGCCGGGGGTGGAAATGCAAACGGATTTACTAATGCTGTATTTAAATATAGTGCCAACTGGATGGTCGTTATTATTAATAATATATTTAATATTTAGTGTCGGTGACGCAAATGTAGTAAAGAAAGACAAGCTTTGGCACATCACACTCGGGTTGTGATCTATACAACATACAACTGATAGTGTTGATACGAATAAAACGAGAGAGATGAAGATGCTGAATATCCCCTGAAACGCCAATCTACAGTCCGAGGATGATAAATGCGCCGGGTCCACCGCTCTGCCATCCATCCCGCACGATTGGGCTATTTACGATGTGTGAAAATCACAATCCTCTTCCCCGGCTCCGCAGCAGAGATGCTCGCAACCTGGTCATTATTCAGCCAACGCCAGATCCGCAGCGTGGGCACTGTTATGGTCCGCGATGGTCCAGCTGTCAATGTCATAAAAGTCATTTAGGCTGAAACTGACGCTCTCCTCCTGCTCGGCGGAGACACGCGAGTGGAGCGTGCAGCCGAGCACAGTCAGGTCTTCCGAAACGTCGTCGTAGCGCGTTTGGTCTAGGAAGATGAATTTGCCGAGTCTTGAAGATGTCGTAGGCAGTGGGGGATTCGAGATGGAGGTCGGAGAGGATTTGGAAGGATACCATGTTGATAATGATATTTAAGTGTGCTAGGGGGTCAACACTCTTCCGCACTCTGTAAAATAATTCTCTACCTTTTAGTATGTGAAATTCTAGTGTTGTTGAGTCGAACGCGTGGGCGAATAAGTATTGAAGTATTTAAATATGAGATTGAAGGTAGCCTGGCTAAATATTTATATAAAAAATAACAGACATGGAGCCAGGTCATGTAAATATTTTATGGAAGTTACATGTAACTTAACTTACAACAAACTTGAGTATTATAGGTAAAGGCAACAATCATCAAAGCTGTGGAAGTTATGCTTCACTGTCATGCGCTGGATGCCTGGGTAACTGAGGCCTGGCATTTATACATCGTGAAGACTGTTTTCAATTCTGAACATATTTATCAGCACTTAAATACAGCTCATAGAAATATTTAGTTAAATCCTCCCCTCCCTTCTCTTCTTGTGTCCTTGGGGCACAACGATGGACGAACAAAATATCAGCCGTCTTCCTCTGGGCAAGGATCTGTGTCGGGAAATAAAAGAGGTCATACGCTATGAACGCCACCAACATCGTATTACTACTATTTTTCTTATCATCAGCTTACTACTCCGTACAATACTCGTCTAATACTCGCTAATGCTAGCTAGCTCTCTTGGCTCGCACATTTGTTTTACTATAAATAGCTCTATCTTTTGTATGCAATTAGATATAACAGATAGTGTACGGATAATATATATAGTATAAGAAGCAGATCTTGATACACATAAGATTCATATGTTTCCGACATATTCATCCGAGATACCATTCCGACAGTTATAATTCCGGTAACTAAAGCAGCATCTGAATAGAAGCGCGATACCGATCCCAATCCTCATTCGAATAGATAACTATCATTCGAACTGAGACGATTGATCCTCATTCGTATACGTTCCGAACTACTCGACCGTTATACACAGAATCCTGGCAAGCAGCATCTGAATAGAAGCGCGATACCGATCCCAATCCTCATTCGAATAGATAACTATCATTCGAACTGAGACGATTGAACCCTCACTCGTATACGTTCCGAAATACTCGACCATTATACACCCCGAATTCCGATCATATCTATCATTCAAATACTTGAACTGATTCCTCAATCTGTTCAATATAACAATGACTAGTGCGACCGTTCACCTTAGTGTTCCTGGAGATTGGAAACTTTGGTACACTCATATGCTAGGATATGCAAAGGACAAGAAGGTATCAGACTTCATCAATCTCGATAAACCTGATATCTTCTCTGAACTAGAAGAACCCCTGGAACCAGAGTGTCCAGAAGAAGCCACCGCGGAGGCCAAGATAGCATATGACATCAAGGTCACTGCGTGGAAAATCAAATATATGAAATATGAGAAGATGAATGAAGGTATGATGAAGATACGAGACATCATATGGAGGACAGTGGATGCCACGGAGCTACGGCATGTATGCAGTGAGAATGATGATGTGAAAGAGATTATCCGCTTGTTAAGAGATCGACTCTCCCCCATGACCGCGGACTATTAGGATGATGTGAGAACCTGATATCACGATCTCTGCAAGGCCCTGAAAAATAGAGGTATAGAGAAGTGGTTAAACAACTGGTCTCTCATCAAGAATGATATCAAAGAGACGGATATAACTGGACAGTTCAACTTGAAGAAAGACTTCTTAAATGTGAATCTAGCTATTGATGCAGGTTATACACAAGCTTGGGCTAAGGATGTCTGATGTGATAAAGATGCCATTATCTTTGATAGAGTTAGTTAAGGACTTCAAGGAACAGTATAGGGAAATGGGTATTCTCAAAGAAGATAAATCTATGAACTTTGCTGCCTTTAATGGAAGATCTCAGCAAAATACCTCATCACCAGTGACATTCAAAAACTGCATCTGCGGAGCCTGTCACCGATACACTCAGTGCTACTATCTCAATCCCTCAAGGAAGTCATCTGGATGGGAGGAAAACAGGGAGAAGAGAACTCAGATCAATCAAGCTCTTAAGAATCAAGAATTGAAGAGACATGTTGATTGTGCGATATCTAGAGATTCATCTGCAAATACAGATATGATAGATGGAGCAGTTCTAGAAGGAATGATTCTGAAGCAATCAGATCCTCAATCTATTGATCTACAGATCTGAAAAATATCAATGAACTCTTCAAATTCTTGCTTCTACCTCCGAAACTCCTGGATCTTTGATACTGGCGCGGAGCAGCATATATGCAATAATTGAACACATTTCCTATTCTTTACCCCTGTGAACAAGAACGCGGAAGTCTATACAGCCTTACAGGTGATTCCAGCACTAAAGTAGAAGGTTATGAAACTGTTAGAACTATCATGATAAATGAAGCAGGAAAGCAGTTCAATGTCAACCTTATCAATGCAGCTTATATCCCGAATTTCCATACAAATATCATTGCATGGAAACCGTGTTTCCATATAGGAGGCATCTATTATGATGGAAAAGACTTCAGATTGTGAAAACGCGCAGATAATATCATTTTTGCACGCGTTGAAGTATTTGGGGGGTTGCTAGTTACAGAATATAGTGAAATAGCTGTTTTTTCAACTATCTCGGATAAACCACTGATAAATCCATCACTGAAGCCGCCGCAGCTACCACATCTCACACTACTAAAAAATTGATATCTTCAAATTCTTCAACTTCTACAAATCCTTCTTCTAACCTGCCAATTCGCACAAAACCTTCTCAAAAACCTAAGATCTCTATCACTACTCAGTCTACCTGGCATAAGAGATTAGAACATCCTTCAAAAATCGCCATTCAAAAGCTTGCAAATGATGCAACTGGCATTCAAATCACCCATCTAGAAAACATCACTCATCTAGAAGACGCACGGGATGAGCTTATCACTGAGCTTTGTGACCCCTGCCAGCTTTCTAATGCGGAAAATCAAATATCTAGACATTCCCATGTTTCAATCCTTTCTACACCGGATCCAACACCTGAACCTACGCCAGGGCCAGCAGGTCCTAATGTTGACGTTAATCCTCATCCAGCTGCGATAGATAATCGTACACGGAACATTAGTGTTGATATTAATACTCATCCAGCTGCGATAGCTAATCGTACACGGAATGTTAATGTTGATATTAATACTCATCCAGCTGCGATATATAATTGTACATGAACCTGAAATCGCAGAGCTGCCCGCCTTGAGGCAGAACAAACCTTTTCAAATGATCAATGAGGCATTCTCTCATTCTCATTCACACTCAGACTTCTACAAGTCTCAAAATTTATTTCCTAATACTATTTTTACTATTATCAACACTGAGAATGCTAGGCTTCACCTCTATGCCAGAGGATTGCTGCCTCTTCTCTAATGATCAATTAATCGTCTTTTTCTATGGGATGATATCGTCATCCTAACTCACTGGGCAGATGTCGAAAAACACCCACATCGCGAAGACTCTGAGAACGTGTTCAATCCAGCGATATTACAGTTAATTGGGTGCCTACAGCTCAAATGCCAGCGGATGGCCTCACTAACACTAAGGCTCTGCCACGCCAGAAACATACAGAATTTGTCAAGATGCTAGGCCTAGTTGATATATCAGATATCATCAAAGCATAAGCAGAATAAATGGTATAAATGATCTATCTTGATGTAATCTCTGCAGATTCATCTACACTCCTTCTATGACTATTTCCTTGCAGCTTTATTTACACTTCCTTTTACATGTTACATTCACTGAAGGGGGTGTGTCGGGAAATAAGAGGTCATACACTATGAACACCACCAACATCGTATTACTACTATTTTTCTTATCATCAGCTTACTACAATACTCATCTAATACTTGCTAATGCTAGCTCTCTTGGCTCGCACATTTGTTTTACTATAAATAGCTCTATCTTTTGTATGCAATTAGATATAACAGATAGTGTACGGATAATATAAGAAGCAGATCTTGATACACATAAGATTCATATGTTTCCGACATATTCATCCGAGATACCCATTCCGACAATCTGGCTGCTACAGTCTCCCAACCCCTCAATTCAAATATTTAGTATTTATGCTCAGTGTCCTCTGTGGAAACTTCCAACTTCCTCCTTACAGTACATGGAATGCCATTGTTATTTAACAAATGTAAATATGTCAAAGAAGGGAGGAAAATGAAACCGACACTCCGGGCTGTTAATATTTCCAGGAAGCCTCCTTCGCCCGTGACTGACAATATATTTATATGATCCTGCAGACTCAAAAAAGATCCTAGAGGAGGACGCGGGTTGCACAGATCCCAAATGCATCGTCGTAAAAATACCATCTCGACCTCCTCTTCCCAGCCACTATTATATATGTGACCCGAAGAATAGCATGCCCTTATTAGTTGCTGCCAGGAAGAGGTTACTCGCGTCTTAACATCTGACCATGTCGGGGATACGTGGACATATATATTTTATACCTAAAAACTCCGGAGTCTTGCAGCGTAGCTCCACATATTTATTATGTCCGGAGGACAAAACGGAAGGGGAGCGAGGTGCAGACTCCTAAGAGGGCATTTCTCGAGTCTTGTTTAAATAACGTATTTATTCGGTCCAGTATTTATGTCAGTCTTTGAATATTTGCACGTTTTCTTGCTGGGCAGGAAACAGATTTGAATGGTGTCATTTCTATCTAACCAGCATCTCATATGAACAGTTCACTGCAATATTTACTTCAGTATGGTGTATTTAATTCCATTTAGGAAGATTCTTATCTACTCTTCTTTATCTCGCAAGTCTCAGCTAAATATTTATACCATGGATTGCACTCTTGGCGCGAATGACTTTCAAGCCCGCAAGTTGTCCTAAATAATAATAAGCCATGCCAGGTCCTTGCTTCTAGGGGCTAAATAAGTATTTAAGAGGCAGGAATCCGGTGTTGCGACTTATTTCCAGGGTCAAGCTGAAGCCGGCGATGAGCATGTTGCCATCATCAAATATATATCTGGGTCAGCGTTGACGTTAATCTCTGAGGAACCTTGGAAACGAAAAGAGTCAAAAGATCCATCAGCAAAGAAAAAGTCATGTGAGCCGGATCCAGGGCGGCTTTTCCATTGATTTCTCCCCCGCCAGCCGCCGGAAGCGGTGGGATCGGAATAAATAAACAAACAAACACAAGTAGAATTATTCCCTCTATAACTCGGCCATTATTCCCATATCTTAAAATAAACCACCAGTCAGTCATGGCCCCGTTTCGAAACTTCTTCCCCAAGCGGCCTGCCGTGAACATTGTGCCGGCCAGCGATGACCTTCCCACTCCGCTGAACGCCGCGGGGGGCAATGGTCCAGACGGCCCCCAACGGTCATCTTTGACTCTCCGACGCAGCGTAGATGAAAAGCCCAATGAGTACAAAATGAGCGGTACGCTATATGTCTTGAATTCAATATCTCCGTTCAATTAAGTTTGGGGAAAGCTAACTTGACATCTTAAATTTTGTAGTTGTCAATGACAACGGGGTGTATCTTCCGGTATGATGCTATGCTCCAGTCCAGTTCTCCGATCAAATAAAACCCCCCCGTACGGATCCGATATGGACATAATATGTATCGGAACACACCATACAATGCCACCCAATTGACAAACAAATTGCAAACTAGCCCTCGCCTACGGAGAAAAAGAGCTTCTGGAGCAAATCCCCCTCGCAAAACAACACAAGGAACCTCGTTGATGAAAACGAACCCTTCTCCATATCCCGAGAATCCTTCGACTCTTATCGCCGCTCTTTCGTATGAACACCCCCCCCGCCCCCCTCATGAATGGATATCTTCTCTGAGCCACCCAACCACCAACCCCCATCTAACATCGGATTTTTTCAATAACAGGACATCTCCGCCCGCTCCCCCGTCAGCCAATCCGACACCGGCGCCTCCCGCACCTCTCTCGATTCCCGCTTCTCCCGCCTCACAACCCCCCGCTCAACAGTCAGCGGACACACCTTCGAACCCCCACCAAAGTCCCCATACGAGATACGGGAGCAGCAACAGGAGCATGAGCACGAGAATGACGCTGAGCAGGAACAATTTGTAGACATTGGCCTGAATGAGGATACGAAGCCGAAAAAGAAAGGGTTTTTTGCGCGTTTGGGGGATAATGTGATGACTGCTACTACTACTACGACGACGACTACTGGATCTACTACCTCTACTACAGCTGGCACTGGTGGAGTGGAGTCTGCGGAGAATAGTCGGCCGGGGTCGTCACATTTGAGTTTGGGCTTCCATTTGCCTGGGAGGAAGAGGGAGCAGGGTGGTGGTGGCGCCGCTGCTAGCGGGTTTCAGGTGGCTGAGTTGGGGAGTATGAAGATGCCTGTTACGGCTGATGCGAAATGAGCTGGGACGATATGGATGTAAAGGATACTGATGGTGATGAATATGATGATTATGGTGAATGAGGTAGGGTTGAAACGGGGATGGGAATGGGGTGTCTTTTTCTTTTTACCTTTAACGGCCTTTCTCAAAGGTGCGGGATCAGGATTAGGAGTTGTGTTTCTTTCAGACAAATTTAGCCTCCTGATTTATATCTGACGCTTCCTATTTTGACATTTTATGGCCTTGAGGGAGCCTCTGGGAATCGAGTTTTGGATCCTTTTATGTATATCGCGGCGTTTTACCAAAGCCTATTGGCGACACAACCTATAACCATATACTTCTCGATGCGGATACAGCTATAAATAGATTTATTTATTCCGATCCATCCGTTTCGGGCATTTAGAGCCACCATGCACCTACAATTTTCACGCTCTAAATATTTAAACGCGAAATGCAACATCCAACTCTCAGTGTATCAGTAACTAAGAATAAAGGCGATCAGCGCTATGTATTCACGTACTAGATACTTTACATATGCCTCCAAACATATAAATACAACGACGCGTCCCTTCTCCTCACAGCCTGGGCGGAGCCCTTTTCAAGTCACCCCTTCCCAAGGCCCTTTGATACCCCAAAATGAAATCGTGGACGAGGAGTCATGTCCAGGCTACAATGCTAAAGGCTTCTACCCCGCGAGGGTAGGAGAGGTCATTGCCAATCGCTATCAGATCCTCGTCAAGGTTGGCTGGGGAACTTCCTCCACCGTATGGTTTGCGCGTGATATGCGGGGGTAGTTTGTTACTCTTTTTCCATTTCATTTTATATTTTACACGCCGAGTAGTTTATCACTTCTCTCTCCAGTTCAAGTTCCTGATACTTTTTATGACAGACTGCAGTCGGAACCAGAGGAAGCCGTAGCATTGAAAATATCCAACGCCAGCAGTCAGGCGGATATAAATCGGCACCGTGAAATTGAGCAGCATATAGCAACAGCACGCCGGTCTCATGACGGTCGTGAGATTCTACGAACGTTCTTGGAATGTTTTGAAACCACTGGACCCGAAGGGGGGAAACATCTCTGCATGGCGTACGAACCCATGAGGGAGCCGTTCTGGTTGTTTCGGACGCGGTTCAGAGATAGGCTTATTCCGCTACCGCTCCTCAAGACATATATTCGCATCCTGCTTGTAGGACTGGATTACCTTCACACGGAATGCAAGGTTGTGCATACGGGTGCGTGGGCGTGTATCATTCCCTCCCCCTTCCCCATGTCCTCCCGAACCCAAGAGCCAAATCCTATAGGGGGGATGATGGAGATAGCATTTCGACAAACTAATATAATCGAGCCAAAACAAACTCATAGATCTAAAACTCGACAATATCATGCTCACATTCGAAGACCCGGAAATTCTTGGTGATATCCTAAGCTCTCACATCGAGGAGTCACCAATGAAATACAAAATATCCCCCAGCGACCCCAGCCGCCATGTCTATCGCTGTCACAATGACTTCGGACCACTGAGGGGACTGAAGAGCATACCCCAGATCGCTGATTTCGGACTAGCAGCCCGACTCGTCCGCGACGATGATTACGGCTTCTACCCTATCCAGGCAGACCCTTATTGCGCGCCAGAGGTAATACTCGGCTGCGGCTGGAGGATGAGTGCTGATATATGGAATTTCGGGCTTCTTGTGCGTTGGGCCCCTATTGTTTTTCCGCTCGATAAATCTTTTTTCCCTTTTGTAACTCAAATGAGTTGAATTAACACCCTACTACATGTGTAGTTGTGGGATATCATCGAAGGCAAAGAACTCTTCCGCCAGATTGGCGACAGCGAAGACCGCTACGATGCCAGAGCGCATTTAGCCGAAATGATAGCTCTTCTTGGACCGCCTCCGCAAAATTTGATCGCAAGATATCATTCCATGCGAGATTCCAAATTGGCGGGACCTAGTGTAAAGGGGGCAGGCAGCGAACTCTGCAAGGACGCAGGGGAATTCTATGGTGGCCCGTTTTTTGGTAAAGATGGTATGTTTGAAAACAATTTCTGCTAAGATTTGGGAATACGAAGAATTGCGATCACGATCTAATGTATATCACCGAACTTTTTGCAGGGAAATTTCTGTATGAAGGCTTGATCCCGGATCGAAGGCTCGTGGATTCCATCCCGACTCAATTGGTAGAGGAGGAGGATAGGGAAAACTTCCTCTCTCTTGTGAAGATGATGCTTGCTTGGTTGCCTGAGGAGAGGAAGACGGCACGAGAGCTCGCGGAGCATCCTTTTCTTCAACTGGAATGAACATACTCCGTTCCATGTATTAATATATCAACTTCTACACCGCATATTTTTGAGAGATAAGCAATTGTATACTCCCCTCAACATAATAATTGGGTCTGAACGAAAAACGTGTGGTAATGTTCCAAGGATCATCAGCTTGAAGGCGCCTGGGTAAGTAGATATCACGCGATCCCAGCCAGCACAGGTTTGTCCGTAATAATGTTCCTCATATGCTCATATGCTCATATGTTGATGTTGAGTGTTGATATCGAGCTTGTATGCAATTCCGCCTTAGAGTAAAACCCATCAGTGCAAACAGAGCAAACATTCTGCCTCGCGAAAAACTTCCTGCAGCAAATCTGAATTTCCGAACTATGTAAGAACCAAAGCTCAGCAAAATACTACCTGCTATCTCCGTGCTTGCCATTCCCGTCCCGATTGCACGAGAAAAGGAAACTGGAAACCATGGCGGGAATTAAACGGAGAGTCGATACAGCGGACGATCGAGGCGGGAAACGGACAAAGGTTAAAGACGGAGGGAGAGTGAAAAAGGCGAAGCCGGTGGTGGAAAGCAAGCCAAAGCCCAAGAAGCCACAGAAAAAGCTTGGAAGTAGCGATGACGATGACGATGATGTCGATGAAGTGGAGGAGGAAGAAGGTTTTAATTCTGCTGAAGAGGATGTGGATATGGAGGACCAATTGTCTGAAAAAGAGGAGGATACTACTCAGGAGCAGAAATCGAAGCTTCATTCGAAAAGTAAGCAAGCAGGCAAAAATTCGAAGCAGGCAAATGGAACTGGAGATGCTGCTCCACCTGTACAAAGTATGTTCTCACAAAATATGTCAATATTTTTACCTATTGTACGTCCAACCTAATCAATCTGCTATCGGCAGGTGGGACATCCTCAAAAGAATCCCGCGCAAAGCAAAAAGCGCTTGCGCAGGAACGCAAAGCCGCAAAGCCAAATGCCGACCTCATCGCCCGCTCCAAGAAGCTTTGGGAGCGCCTGCGCCGCAAATCATACGTGCCCCTCGAAGAGCGGAAGAAACTTGTCGAGGAACTATTCTCCATCATCACAGGCCGAGTTAAGGAGTTCGTCTTCAAACACGACTCCGTCCGCGTCATTCAGACGGCGCTCAAATATGCCTCCCCACAGCAGCGCAAGGACATTGCGAAGGAGTTGAAGGGTGACTATCGCAGTCTGGCGGAGAGCAAGTATGCGAAATTCTTAATTGGGAAGTTGCTTGTGCATGGAGATTCAGAGATTAGGGATATGATTGTTCCCGAGTTTTATGGAAATGTTAAGCGGCTCATGCGACATCCGGAGGCGTCGTGGATTGTAGATGATATCTACAGGACTGTTGCGACTGCTGCGCAGAGGGATATGTTACTCCGTGAGTGGTATGAGGCTGAGTTTGCGGTGTTCAGGAGTGCGAATTTGGCGGCCGAGACAGCGGATTTGAGTGATATTCTTGCAAAGAATCCGGAAAAGAGAGGGCCTATTATGAGATATCTTCATGATTTTATCAACCATCTCGTTCAGAAGAAATTTACTGGGTTCACGATGTTGCATGATGCCATGCTTCAGTATTTCTTGAATACCACACCTGGCAGCGAGGAGGCAACGGAGCTTATCGAGCTCATCAAGGGTGACGAAGCAGGTGACCTTGCTAAGAATTTGGCATTTACGAAGTCAGGTTCCAGATTAGTATCTCTCTGCTTCGCATATTCGAACGCCAAGGACAGAAAACTGCTGTTAAGAATGTACAGAGACACGATAAAAATGATGGCCGGCGACGTGCACGGACAAGTTGTCCTCCTTACAGCCTACGAGGTCATCGATGACACAAAACTCTCATCCAAGTCGATATTCCCAGAGCTCCTCAACCAGGCATCCACCGCAGAAGCCCGCCATGAAGAACTACTCCTGCAAGTTACAGACCTCACCGCGCGGATTCCCATCCTCTATCCCTTCGCAGAAGACACCACGCGCTGGCTCGTCACAGACTCAGATCATAAAAAAATCCTCAATGAAGTCTTCGCAATCCGATCCCAGACGTCCAAAAAGGACCCAAACACACGTCGCCAAGAACTAATCAAAGCCGCCTCACCCACCCTGCTTGAATTCATCGCCGCAAGTGCAGACTCCCTTGTCGAATCCAGCTTCGGCTGCCAATTCATCACAGAAGTCCTCTTCAGCGCAGACGGCGACAGGACCGCCGCTCTAGCCGCCATCGCAGCCACTCCCACGTCTAAACCCGAAGCGCTGGAGGCTCCCGCTGCGGGGCGGATGCTCAAGGCGCTCGTACAGGGCGGGCGCTTTAATAGCAAGACCAAAAGTGTAGAGAAGGTGCAGCCACCACTTAACTTCCACGGGCTGTTCTATGAGCAGATTGCTGGCGATGTGATGGCGTGGGTTACTGGGGCGAATCCGTTTGTGGTTCTAGCTCTCGTGGAGGCGGAGGATTTTGAGAAGAGAGAGGAGCTAGTGAAGACGTTGAAAAAGCAGAAGAAGGTGCTTGGTGAGCTTGCGGCGAAGGAGCCGGTTAAGAAGGGAGAGAAGCGGGGGCCCGTTAGTAGTGCGGCGAAATTGTTGTTGGAAAAGATTGGGTAGCATTTGCGACGCGATTTTCTATTTTGTTTTTATTTTCGTTTATTTACGCCAGTTTGCAAATCAATTAGACGGATAAATATATTTTATAATTTGCAGAAGGGTGTTTGATCCGTCCTTCATCTCACCCCGTTTCCATCTACACGACGATACATATCCCTTAAGAGCCACTTATTGATCCCCAGGCCAGGCCTAGCTATCAGATTCACCCAAGTGCCGCACAAAATTTCCATCCAGCCTGATCTGAGAAGACATGTTCGGATCCATTAGCACTCAAGCGCGGGAATTTATTTTTCCTTTCTCTTCGGTATTACTCTAATATCTCCTGTGCACCGCGCATCTTTATCACATCAGTCTCAAACCGCCAATGTTACTCGTCGTCGCGGTGGTAGTCACCCCACATATTATCCCCGCCTGGGAGGCTTCTTTATATATCGGAGGCTTGAAATGCTCCGGTGTGATAGCTCCGAACCGGGGCTCTCTATCATATAGAGTGCTGGGCGGACGAAAGAGAATGATTTCTGACAATAAAACCGTAGAGCTAGGTAGTGTTGCATTGGTATTGGCCAGTTCATTGGGCGGATAATTGGTTGGATGGATGTTTTTGGCGTCAGGGGCCATTGTCGCAATAAACACATTCCAAAGTGTAAATCTAGATAGAAACAGAACAGGGACAACATCTAGGACCCAGGATTTCATACCTGGGACACTTCCACACTCGCATTCATAGATATATCAGTATTCTGCACGTATCTCTATCTCTTCATGTCATAATTCTGCTGCTGATCTTCGACGAGGCTCAACTCTAAATCACCCCAATCCATTTTTGGCCAAACCCATACAAATATCCACATCCGATGTTTTGACCTCAGTCTCAGGCCATCAACATCATCTCTTTTCTTTCATACTCCAGTCTTTGGTCTCCAGTCCTGGGCTCGTCTCCGCTACTATGCCAATACATTGTTCTGTGTTCTTTGACGCCAATTGAGTTACTCTGACATCCTGCTCCTGGCCGTCTCCCCCACTAACCTACCCTACAGCGCTTAATTTCCCTATCCCAGTCCAAACGAACTATTGTCAGATCCATCCTGGGTGCAGCAACTCCCCGTTTCTTGTGCGCATGATTCTGATGCATTCCACGACGTCCTGGGGTAAACTAGAGGCCCCTATAGTGACACACAGCAGCAGCAGCGGCAGCGGCAGCAGGTGGGGGCAGGGAAAACAAAGTGCTGGGCCTGCAGCCCCCGAAGTTACCAGGATTGACATTCTGCAAGACAGGACCGAACAAAGGAAATAATACACCCTCGACCGGGTTGCTGCAGGTCCCCCAATCCTTGCGCCCCTTATCCCACGCCGTCAAATTAGTTAATAATCACGTCTAACATGTCTCGTTCCACATTTGCTACGTTTACCTCCTTTGAGAGCCAACGGAGTTCTCCTCCAAACGTTGGTGCTCAGAGTAACCAGCAGGCGCAGGAGCAGCAGCAAACACCCACCGTTTATAGTAATAATAATTCTAATACCTCCGCTTCCTTCCCCTCTCCCACCCTGACGAACCCTGATATGATCCTCCCCTACGACATCGAGCGGGAAAGCTCTACCCCGTCGCCCCCTTTTCGGCCACTGCAGCTCCCGTCGCCTGACCACTCCGGGTACCGTCACGCTTCTTTGCAGGAAAATGGAATGCATGTTTCTTCTGCAGGGATTGGTGTAGCGCTTTCTGCCGCGAACGGCGCACCCAACAATTATCAACAGCGGAACCCTCCTCCGCGAAATAATTGGGTGTTTGCCGGACATGAGGTTCGCCCGCCGTTGTCGGATATTGGAGAGGAGGATTCTCCCACGCGCTCCAGATGGGATGAAGACGACGAAAATATGGACGTAAACAATATGTCTTTGGGTAGTCCGCCGGTTTTGGAGCCTCGATGGCGCAACGACGACGACAACAAGGTGCGCGGGAATGCCGTTGATGGTTATGCCGATGGCTATGATGATGACTGTAGTGCGTCCAGTTCAACAATTAGTGCGCCAAGTGAGATTCTAGACAAATGGGAAGAGTTTCGCACAGATAATGGGAATGGGAATACTCCCAGTGGGACACACCCAGAAAACGTGACCCATGAACCCAACCAGCGTTGCAACCAAGAGAGCGACAGCTTTTCACAGGATATTGCGGGGGTCGAGTCAGTAAGGGCTATCAGGGAAGAGGGGGAAATAGATGGAGGATTGGATGAGGAAATTGATGATGAAATACCGTCTGCTATGTTGAGCAAGGAAGCGGAAAGGATCCTTGAAAATGCGAAGAAGAGATTGACGGTTTGTCTCTCCCTTGCCCTCCCTTAGAAGGGTTCCTTTTTTGGATTCGATTGATATTGGAAAAGAAGAAAGAGAAGAAAAATACTGACAGGTTACGGATTTTATCCAGCACATGGAGGGTAATCTTAGTCGGGCCCGTAGTTCTTTCCGAATGAGTCCATCGCCTTCTCTCCTGATGGGCACATTACCCCTCCACCATCGTCAGTCTACAGGTAACATGGGCAGAGCACATTCGATCACGGAGAGACGGGCTCAGACAAGCCTTGCTGGAGCACTGATGCGCCAAAGGATTTCTCAAGATTTGAATGCAAGCAGCTCACATTCGAGGGGTTTGAGCGATGTATCAGCCCAATCAGCACAAAATAATTTGGCTTATAGAGATAATATGCGGCTTCCATTCCGCTCTTTCAGCGCACTTGGGTCAACTAATGCATCAGGTTTTGGAGCAAGTGACATCTCTCATAGCCATGATCGCTTCGAGCCTAGAGCTACGTACAAATCGCCAGTGTCTACATTCAACTATATACCTGAAAATCCATCCGAGTGTATTGGTAACAAGGTTTCACAATCTGATTCTCCACATTCGAAACCGGACTTACTTTCTGCACAAGAGGATAATAGTTCTGAAAATAACCCCCCTGGCAGTGTGAACGGCGTCCCGAAAATTTCATCGGTGGAGGAATTTAATGCGACGTATCCAGCCAGTATTCCCTCCCGTTCCCAGTCGCAACTCCAAGTTCGTGGCCTTCAAGACCAGATGCAGGATCTTAAAAGCAAGATCTCGACCCTCAAGGTGCAGGCACAGGAAGATAACCTACGACGACGAAGTCTTCAAAGCCTTCGCACTCCAAGCCCGTTCACAGCAGCGGAGCAGTGGTACACATCTGCCGGCGAATATGTCGGGGCGCGGGGTAAAGGTGCGGATGCATTCCGGAACGAGCAAAATAACGAGAGAAACGTAGGCGGAACTGTAGACCAACCACACCAGACTCTTGTCACCGCTGATCCGCCTCCTGCTCCAGAGGTGGTAGAAGAACAGAAACAACAGGCCACCTCGGACAGGGATCGTCCAGACGACCAGAAATCGGTAGTAGCCAGCCTTTACGAGGACGCAGACGAGGAGTTTGACCATGGTGATTCAGATGATATTGACCGAGCTGCTCTCGCCGAGATCCTAAATGAACCTCTCGACAGCCCCGTATCGTCTGATGAGGGCATATATGAAGACTTTCCGCCTATGCCTACGGTTACCGAAACTACACGGCATGAGGATCGTGAGGACGCGTTTGACTATGAGCATTTCTTCTTACACAGTGCACTGGGGAATTACTCTAGAGAAAAGGCCTACCAACGGCGTCAAAGCTATAGCTCTACTGGATCCGTGGAGACCACAAGACCAGGGAGCCAGGCAACAGTTTACTTGGACACATCGCCACGAGGAAGGCAGGGTCATGCGCGAAACAACAGCGCTGATACAATATCCACGATAGCTTCCTTTGAGACGGCGACTGAGGGTGCGGATTATGATGATTACGATGTGGATAGCGGCGATGAAATCGAAAAGGCACTGTATGGGACCATGAATGGCAATGGAACAAAGTATTCTCATAGCGGTATGTACCTCTCCATCCACCCCTTCTATATTCTATAACTCAGACCAATTTTCACCAATTTTCATAATACAATTACTGACAAAGGTTTGAAAGACCTTCGATTCCGCCAACATTACCAAGACCCCCAACCCGCCAGCCGACACCAGACTCGCCAAACCATTATCTCCACCAACATCTCCGTCTCCCCAACCCCTCTCTCGACAGCATCCACGCCCCGCGCATCAGGCAAAAAAGCCAGCTACAATAACACAAAAGGCAACAACTATCGCCGCAGCCACAGCCGCAAGCATTCCAACGACGCTTCTACTTCACTCCACGAAGCAGTTGCACACTTGCGCTCACCAACCGTCATGATATCCTCCCTAATATCTTCCGCCGCGACTCAGTTGTATAAGTCTGAGTCGCAAGACAAGCCACTAATAGTCGACGCGCAGCTGAGCGCGGACGACACCAAGCTGATGGAAGGCCTTCTTCAGAGCTTGGGGAAAGTGGCGTTACAGCTGCAGTTGTCGACTAATAACGGTGATAAACGGTCCAGCGCGGATGAGAGGTCTTCCATTCTGTTCCGGCGGAGGTTGGATGCAGCGAGGAGAGTGTTGGAGGGACAGTTGGATGTTTAATTGATCATATGTCAATAGTTTGATTCTTTTTCTTTTTTCTCTTTTTTTTTTTTTCTCCCTTTTCAATTTACCCCTCTCTTTTCTACTTGTTTAACTGCTTTTCCTCGTTATTCTGGATATCCCCTTTTGTCTTTGTAATCAAATGTCTACTTTTCTCCCTTTCAGTTCCACCATTTCATTTTCATCTCATTTTCATTTCATTTTCATTTTTCGTCGTGTTTTCCGTCTCCTGAGATACCTCTTAATATTCCTGCTATTTTATAGTTAATTTTTCCCCCGTTTTTCCCGTTTTTCCCTGTGTCAATGCTTTCCAATATTTCTGTTGTTCCCTACTCTCGCTGGGTTTTCTAACATCGAATCCCCTACTCCCCTACGTTCACTTGCTTGTTTCGTTCTCCTTCTGACAATTCACCCTCTAAAAACCAACCCCTCATGAATCCCACGATACCCACGCCCGCCTGTCCCTTATCAACCTCTCAGATCCTCCAAGCCTCACTATTCCCTTCCTCTCCGGTCATTCTTTCCCTTTTATTTTTTATTGTGCCTCTATTACACCATTCTCTCATCCCGCCATGTGTTGTTATACTCGTAGATTCGGGTGGTAGACACGTTTTGTTGACATATTTGTTATAGAACATATAAAGCCATATAGACTTCTTGTTATTTCCATTTCTTTTTATCCATTTTTCTCAAGTTGATTTACTATGCATACGTATCTTACTTAACACTTACCGATTCCAGTGTGTGTAAGTATTTGAGAAAATACATGTAGATAGGAGACCAACCAAAATAGATGGAGGAGAGCGCTCCTTTGCAAAGCACCCTGGGCTTCATAAGAGAATTATTGAAAAAGTGGGGGAAAATCTCTCTATATATTAAAGAAAAACCAACTTTTCCGTGCAAAAAACGCTGTAACGTGACCCCGCAGCCCCCCTATCACTTCCACCTCATATCTATCTCCATCTTACCACTCACTCTCTTACCACCCCTATCACCCCTACCACCCCTTCCACCTCTACCTTCCACCTCTACCCTATCTACCACCACCACTGCGTCTACCGCCCCACAGCACCCTCTATCACTTCCACTCTCTATCTCTACCCTCATCTTACCATTCTACCCCTCTCTTACCATCTCTATCACCTCTCCCACTTCTACCACCTCTATCACCACCACTGCCTCTATCACCCCTCTCTATCACCTTTTCCACCCCTTCCACCTCTATCACCACCACTACCTCTACTGCTCTGCAGTCTCTTCTATCACTTTCACTATCTCTACTTCTCTCTTACTATACCTACCACATTTTGATCTCTGTGTTTATAGTATATACTGCTAAATACTCTGTAATAAAGAGAGTGGAAGGGGTGGAAGGGGGGGGGTTGCGGGGCGGTAGAGGGGGTAGGGGGTGGAAAGGGTGGTAGGGGTGGTAAGGAGGGGGTAGAGGTAGGGGGTGGAAGTGGTAGGGGGAGCTGCGGGGCGGGTAGAGGCGGTGGTGGTGGTAGAGGGGGTAGGGGGTGGAAGGGTGGTAGAGGCGGTGGTGGTAGACGAGTAGGGAGTGGGAGGGGTGGAAGGGGTGGTAAGAGGGGGGTAGGGGTGGAGAATGGAAGTGGTAGAGGGGGGCTTGCTCAAGCAGCAAAGGCGAGCGTAAGCGAGCTGTTGATGCTTGTATGAAATGGAAAAGAAAAAAGGCAAAAGGGGAATAAGAAAGGGGGAAGA